ATGGGCCCCATTTCGACACCAAACGTTGTCGTCATTCTAGTGGCAGTGGTAGAGCGCGAAGAGAGCTTCGATATAACCTCTTATGGGCCGGCTCCGTTACGACACAAAAAGTTGTCGCTAAATTCGTAGCGGTTGTAGAGGGGGAAGAGAGCTTGGATCTGACGGATTATGGGACCCGTTACGACAGAAAAAGTTGTTGCCGTTCCCGTGCCAGTTGTAGATCGCGAAGAGAGCATCAATCTAACGACTAATGGTCCCCGTTACGACACCAAAATTTATCGCCCTTCCCGGGGCAATTGTAGAGCGCGAAGAGAGCTTCGATCTAACGGCTAATGGGGCCCGTTACGACACAAAAAGTTGTTGCTAAATTCGTGGCGGTTGTAGAGGGGGAAGAGAGCTTGGATCTGACGGATTATGGGCCCCATTATGACACCAAAAGTTGTCGTCATTCCCGTGCCATTCGTAGATCGCGAAGAGAGCTTCGATCTAACGGCTAATGGGGCCCGTTACGACACAAAAAGTTGTTGCTAAATTCGTGGCGGTTGTAGAGGGGGAAGAGAGCTTGGATCTGACGGATTATGGGCCCCATTATGACACCAAAAGTTGTCGTCATTCCCGTGCCATTCGTAGATCGCGAAGAGAGCTTCGATCTAACGGCTAATGGGGCCCGTTACGACACAAAAAGTTGTTGCTAAATTCGTGGCGGTTGTAGAGGGGGAAGAGAGCTTGGATCTGACGGATTATGGGCCCCATTATGACACCAAAAGTTGTCGTCATTCCCGTGCCATTCGTAGATCGCGAAGAGAGCTTCGATCTAACGGCTGATGGGCCTCGGTTCAACACCAAACGTTGTCGTCATTCTAGTGGCAGTGGTAGAGCGCGAAGAGAGCTTCGATATGACGGATGATGGGGCCAGGCTACGGTCTAAACAAAAGAGGCCATAGACCACTCGAGTGGGCGGGCCCCATGAAAGACACGGTCAAATGGTCTAAACCGCCTACCATTGGACAGAGACTCGTGCAATATTCACTATAAAAGGGGAAGACCCCCCGAGAGAGGGAGGAGAGATTTTTCCTTATGCATATGTAACTTGCAAGAACAAAGACAAGAGAAATACAAAATAGTGGATGTAGCTCTTGTTGCGAAGTGTGAACCACTATAAAACTCCTGTGCGTCCTTACTTTCATAAGCATTATCTCACTTACTTCACAACCTATCCTAAACCCTAATACAAATTTCAGCATATTCACTAAAATTATAAGTTCCAAAACCGGTAACCCAACGGGCTACCGCGGGGTCATTTGGTAAGACTTTGTTGACGAAATTCCACCGTCAACACTAACCAATTATTTGAGGGCTAAATGATTGATTTCGTTCAATTTTTAATGGTTTTTGTGATTGGATGACCAAACATGAAACTAAAAACAACTTGGGGTCTAATTTGCAACGTTTCAAAACTCAAAATTAAAATTAACCCAAAATCAGAAAATGGGGTGATGAAAAGAGGCAGCTTTAGAAAATGGACCGTGCATTACAACCATATAATTAATTCTCATTTCACTTTGTATGAAAAATAATTTATGGCTTATAAAATCAAAAAATGTTTCAAACAGCAGGGGAAAAAATCAGTACACTGGACTTCACTATTGTGAAATAGCTAAAAAAATTTCACATTGTCATAAAGCCAACAACAATTCATTACCATTCACCAAAGTTGACTTCTCCATCTAACTCCATTAGTTTGTGTAAGAAAAGGGTGACTACTAGAAACGGCACGGAAGAATATAAGCAAACTGTGAAAAATGAAAAACGTGAAGTCAAAAAATGACAATAGAAAGAAACGACACCGAAAGGAACGAACGACGACAATGTAGAAATGGCACAGAGGTAAACAAACAAAAATAAATCAGAAACAACAGCATACGAGGAAATAGCGACAAAAAATAAAATAATAAATGAGTAAATGACACAAAAAAAAAAAAAAAAAAAAAAAAAAAAAAAAAAAAAAGAAGCGGCACCAAAAGTTCACGGCAATTTTTATGGTAGGAGAAGCCCTTTTCCCTTATATGTTGCTTTGACGGTTGAATTAATTTTTTTAATAATTAAATCTGTAAGAGTTCAGATTATAATTTAAGATTATGATGTATAATGATTTTAAGTCACAAATCTAACTATTAAAAAATTAATTTAACGGTTAAATACCTATGAGTAAGCAATAAAGCCTACTCTACCATAAATATTGCTAAAATTCAAAACAACATTCCTAAATTTAAAATAAAAAATAAAAAAAAGTTTTAAACAACAATGAAACGACATCCAAGCTAATCAAACAATGTATGTGGGGATGTGCAAACAGGAATGTTAATGGTGACGACAAATAGTAAGAAACCAAAACAAATAGAAAAAAAATACCGGCAAAAAGGCAATAATAACATGTTAAAATATATGAAAGCATATTAGCTAACTCAAGTTCAAGTTGTGATGCATTTCATCTTGATCTTTAAAGCTCAAAATTGACGTGAGAGATGAACAATGAAATGTTTTCATCAATGTCCAAGCTTTTGAAAGCGTTCATCAAAAAAGTCTGAAAACGGCTTTATGATTTATCTTATAAAAAAAAAAAAAAAGCGACTTAATTTTAGTACATTAATTTACATGATTTAGAGGAAGGGTGTTGAAATCTGAAGCAAAAAGAGATCAACACTCATTTCAAAAATTCAAAAAAACTAAAAAACTAAAAAACTAAAAAACTAACTTACAAATCAGAAAAATGTTCAAAACAATGGAAGGAAAAAATTCAACACAGTGGACTTCACAATAGTGAGAAACTTAAAACAGTTTTACACTGTAATAAAAGGCCAAGAACAATTCATTACCATTAACCAATTTGCACCTTTTTTTGTATACCTTCTGTTTCTAATCTATTAGTTTCTGTTCTCTTCCTTCTTCCAAACGCCACCTCTAAATCCAATGTCTTCAACGGTGAAAGACACCAATTCCGGGCACCAACAGGCACTCACAACCCGCAGCAATGGCATAACTTGTGTCACTCTCGGCCATTCCTCTTCAAAATCCGAGAGGGATTCCAACATCAGCCCCTCAATTCTCCAAACAGTGTCGTCATCACCCCAGAAGCTTTGGTTCATCTTGGAAAGATTGCACGAGGCAATTGAGAGGTACCTCAACATGGGAAGTGAGATGGGGTTGAGCCACATTGGACTAATCTTCCCCGGAAAGAACTTGAGACTCAGCTCATGGAGTTGCTGAGGAGGATACAGCATGTCAAGCTTTGTTATGATATCATCACCATGACTATCAAAGCAGCTTATTGTCAGATGCTGCAACTCTTGGAGCTTTACCAATGGATGGACCTCGGTGTCTGCAATCTCGTCACCTCGAGTTAATTGAAGCCCAAGTTTCCTTAGTTTCATCAAGTTTTTCAGCTCACCAATCTGACAACCTTCTGGTTGGTTCGATTTGGCAGGTTTGAAACCAAGTAATACTTCAAGCTGCGAAAGCCTTCCCAACCCTTTTGGTAAGCATTCAAGTGAACCACAATGGCTCACATCTAAGACCCTCAGCTTCTTGAAAGTTACTATATAATTAGGGAGTCACCTTAGGCTTTGGCAGTAGCTGACATCTAAAATCTGCAGATTGTTGAGCTTCTCCAATGAAGGCGGAAGCTGAACCAATGGGTGAGTGTTGTTTACGCTAAGATAAGTCAAGTGGTGAAGAGAACCAACCTGGTTTAGAAGCCCTGTGAGAGGGGCTTCAAAAATTGATCTTGAAAGATCCATTGCCCTTAGGTAATGTGAGTCACAAAACTTCTTCGCAACGTTTGAAGTGATTTTGTTCACTTCACCACTCTTGGTTGTCGATAACAAGGCCCTCAACTTTAAATTGGCCACAAAATGATTTCGAGCCATAGGGGTGTCAATACTCAAGTGACGGCTATTTGTATCATCCGGCCAAGAAAATGCATCTTCTTTCGCAATGTCAATCACCAAATCGCGAACCATATCATGAATTTTACAAGTGTCTATCATTCCGTAATAAGTCTTGTCAACCACTTCTAGCAAACACCGATTTGTCAAACCTGTGAAACAATCCTCACCAGCCTCCGTTGCTGATCTACCACCTCTTACAGGAACAAAACCTTCTCCTATCCACCAATGGACCAATTGGTCTTTGGTTATGACACAATCCTCTGGATAAAGTGACAGACAGAGGAAGCAGGATTTGAGGTAAGAAGGGAGTTCATCATAGCTCAACTGTAGAGAAGCCATGACAGAGTTATCATTTTCAGCTAGCTCATCTTGAAAATGGTTTGCAATGCGTTTCCATTCAGCGTAACGTGGTGGTTTACAAAGCATTATCCCTCCAACCGCCTTGATTGCTAAGGGAAGACCTTTGCATTTCTCAACAATCTCCTCTCCAACACCTTCTAATTCTGGATAATTACACACCCCTTCAGTAGCTGCAAATGCAATCTTCCGAAATAGCAGCCAGCTATTATCCTTGCTAAGACATTTAGGTCTATGCACTCTTACCTCCTTCACTCTCATTTTTTGCGCAACTTCCAAAAACCTTGTAGTGATAATGATGCAACTTCCATGCCCCTTAGGAAGTCCTTCGTAGATTTTTCGCCACCAAGTAAGATCCCCCTCCCACACATCATCCATCACAAGCAAGAACCTCTTACCGAAAAGATACTGGTTTATCTTCTTCAACAGTTCACCTGCACTGTCTCCTATACTTGCATCTCCCAAGTTCCTCAGCATGCTTCTCAAAATCTGTCCCTCGGTGAATTTTTGAGAAACAGACACCCAAATTCTCCTCTCAAAGTGATCCTCCATGTCCCTCTCGTTAAACACTTTCTGAGCAATGGTTGTCTTGCCCAGCCCGCCCATCCCGACAACCCCAATTGCCAATATGTCACTGTCAGCTTCAAGAAGCCAATCCTTCAACTTCCTCGTATCGCCTTCCAATCCAACAACTTGTGTGTGATCATATACAGGAGAGCTCCATCTGGGTATTTGGTCATTGTGTGGATCAACCCCTGGCTGACTCAAAAGTGGCACACCAAGATAAGTTGAAATGTTTATCTTGATGCTGCTGATTTTCACGTTCATTTCTTCAAGGTGCTTCCCAGTTTGGTACTGGAACGGTATTTTTGAAGGACTGAAGCACTTTAACCAACCACTTGACATTGCATCATCATCCATTGACTTGAGTTGACAATCTGCAAGCATGTCTTCAGCTTGATATATCATTTCTCGCAAGTCAACCATGATGCGCCGCAGGGTTTGGTTCTTCCTTTTGAGTCTCTCTGCATCTTTGAGAAAGCTTTGCATTAATTGGAGTTCATTTTGTAAAGTCACAAATTGATCTCTGAATTCTATCAGAATCCGACTTCCCTCTGATAGAGCTCCAAGAAGTTTTCCCAAGAACACGGTTACCACAGCGTCCACCATGTCTTTGCCTTGAACAGATCAGATAAGAAAGTAGAAAGAAAAAGAATATCAGTCACGTTCTTTTCTTTTTCTTTTATCCATGAAAAGGACAACAATTTTCAAATGTCTTTTTCTGCAAAACAAGAAAATGCTTTTCTGCTATGGACTTATGCATGTTTTAAATAAAGGGTTGGTTTTTTCCCTTTTGTATATTTTTGCTAATTTTGTTACAAACTAAATGAATTCCTCTGCAGATCGCTAACAACTAACAAGCAAAATTTGGGATTTGTACTATGGTCCAATGATCAGGCAACAAAATACAAAAAGAAGAGAAAGATTTATCGAATAGTGGCAAAACTCAGAAGCTTTCAATGAAAATTTTCTTATATCAGGTAAGAACTCATATAAAAATGAAAATTTGCTTTCTAAATTAATTGCTCATGATAACATAGAAATAGATATTGTGAAGATTTTGGTCCTAATTTCCTGATTCTAAATGAAGGCAGCAAGCTTCATCTGATGTGGAAATCATTTACTGATGTGGAAATCATTTAGTGACGTGGCACAATCTCAAGGGTTCAATTGAGAGTATATATATAAAGTATACTAAATGTAACATATCACTTTTCATCTGAGATCAAGAAGTTAGAGAGAGAGAATTAAGAGTGAGAAAGCCTGGGTGTGAGAACGTGTAATTCTTGGGTTTTCTGGGTTTGAGAGATTTCTTTCAAGAGCTGTTGTTTCTCGAGAAAGTCTTGAGGATAGTTCTGTGTTTAGAGGTCTCGAGTGATTCTCTATTGTACTCTCTGTTTCTCAATTCATTGATATGTTATAGTGGATTGACTAGGGCTGTGCAAGCCCGGCCTTGGATTAGGATCTTTGATCCGAACCAAGTAAATTTTCGTGTTCTTTGTTTTCTCTAGAGTTCAAGATTGGAGGAAGACTAATTCTTGGGGTTCTAAGGATCTGGGAGTTATTGAAATCTGACGAGCTCCTCCATCGAAGATTGTCTCTGTTCTTGAAGTTGCTACCTGGCCAGTCGCATCTTTCATCATGTCCACATCAAGAATCGAAATTGAGAAGTTTGACGGTAAAAATGATTTCAATTTGTGGCGAGAAAAGATGATCGCTCATCTTGGAAATCTTGGGCTTGACGAAGCGCTGAAAGGAAAATCAAAGATGTCAGATTCAATCCAGAACAAAGGTGAGATTCTGAAAAAGGCTAGAAATACCATTATTCTAAGTCTTAGTGATCATATCCTGAGAAAAGTAGTTAAGGAGAAAACTGCTAGTGGAATGTGGAATAAGCTAGAACAATTGTACATGACTAAGGCCTTGCCTAATCGAATCTATCTAAAACAGAGATTTTATGGTTTTAAGATGGATGAAAATAAAACCATTGATGAGAACATAGCTGAATTCACGAAATTGCTTTCTGATCTGGAGAACTTAGAGATCCAGATAGAAGAAGAGGATCAGGCCATATTCCTTCTCAATTCTTTGCCTAGGCAGTATGATCATTTAAGGGACATGCTCAAATATGGTAGAGATACTTTGACCATAGATGAGGTTATGGGTGCTGCCTATTCGAAGGAATTGGATCTCAGGGCAAATGGGAAACAGCCAAGATCCACTGGTGAGGGTCTAAATGTAAGAGGAAGATCAACAGAGAGGAATGGCAACTCAAATAGGTCCAAGAACAATTCAAGATCCAAGTCAAAGACCAGGAAAACCTGCTGGACTTGTAAGAAAGAGGGTCATTTGAGAAAAAAACTGCCCTCAGAGGAAAAATAACAATTAGAAATCTGATCAATCAAACCCATTAGAAGCTGCAAATGTTTCTGATGGCCTTGACAGTGTTGATGTCCTGACTGTAACCAGTAATGACCCCAAGGAAGAATGGATCATGGATTTTGGGTGCACTTTCCACATGACACCCAGAAGAGAATGGTTCTTTGAGTTCAAAGAAATGAATGTTGCGAAGGTGTATATGGGGGGAATAATATGGCTTGTCAGATTCAAGGAACGGGGTCCATAAGATTGAAACTGTGGGATGGTACTGAAAAAATATTGACAGAAGTGAGATTCATTCCTGAACTGAAAAGGAATTTGATCTCATTTGGGTGCTTAGATAAGAAAGATTTCAATTACAAGGCAGAGAAGGGTGTACTCAAGGTGATTAAAGGATCCTTATTAATTATGAAGGGTCTTCTCAAATAAGGGCTCTATGTGTTGCAAGGTTCAACTGTTACTCGAGAAGCAGCAGTTTCATAAGTCAAGAAAGATGACACAGAATTATGGCACAAGAGACTTGGCCATATGAGCATCAAGGGACTCCAGGAACTTAGCAAACAGGGGTTGCTTGATTCAAAACAAATAAGTGACCTGGAATTTTGTGAAAGCTGTGTACTGGGAAAGTCACATAGACTAAAGTTTGCTGCAGCAAAACATACCACAAAGGCCACCCTTGACTACATACACTCTGATCTTTGGGGTTCATCACAGGTACCACTTTCTTTATCTAAATGTCAATATTTTATTTCCATAATTGATGATTATTCTAGGAAAGTGTGGCTTTACTTCCTAAAAACTAAGGATGAGGCTTTTAATTAGTTTGTGGAATGGAAAACCTTGATTGAAAATCAGACTGGGAAAAGAATAAAAAGGCTTAGGACTGACAATGGCCTCGAATTTTGTAGTCAAGAGTTTGACTCATTTTGTGCTAAGAATGGGATATCTAGGCACCACACTTGCACGAGCACACCACAACAAAATGGTGTTGCTGAATGTATGAATAGGACCATTATGAACAAGGTTAGGTGCATGCTAAATGAATCAGGCTTACCTAAGAAATTTTGGGCAGAGGCAGCAGCCACTGCATATTATCTCATTAATAGGTCACCATCTACTGCTATAGATCTCATGATTCCTGAAGAGAAATGTCTAAGTCCAAACCTAGTTATGATCATCTTAGAATCTTTGGATGCATTGCATATGTTCACTCTAGCCAGGGAAAGCTTAATCCTAGAGCTAAGAAAGGAGTTTCTTAGGGTACCCGGATGGAGTTAAGGGTTATAGAATTTGGTTATTAGATGAACATAAATGTATCATAAGTAGGGATGTCATATTTAATGAAAAAGCTGCTTATAAAACTAACTAGAAATTTTCAGATGTAGCCAGCTTTGAACAAGCTGAGCATACCCTTAATTCTCAGGTGGAGATACCTATTCAATCTAAAATTTTAGGAGACAGAAATGTAGTGTCTGTAGATTCAGGTGGAGCTATTCAATCTCATTCAGAACAGCCTCCTGAATAATAGCTTAATGATGGTCGATTAGATCATGATGATGAAAATCCAGATATGCAAGAAGAGGATCAAATGATGGGGGACATAACCAGGGAACAGTTGAATGACTATATGTTATCCAGAGATAGAACTAGAAGACAAATCAGGCCTCCATCAAGATTTGCAAGTGCAGACATAATAGCCTTTGCCCTTAATATAGCAAATTTGGTGGAGCTTAACGAGCCTACTTCCTATGCATAAGCTAGAAGAAGTAAGGATTGGCCTAAGTGGAAAAAGGCCATGGAAGAGGAGCTAGATTCACTGCACAAAAACCAAACATGGACTTTTGTTGACAAACCAAAAGACCATAAGGTCATAGGTTGTAAATGGGTATTCAAAAGAAAACCAGGGATCCCAGGCGTGGAAGAAGCAAGATACAAAGCACGTTTGGTAGCAAAAGGATTCTCTCAAGTGGAGGGAATTGATTATCATGAGGTGTTCTCACCAGTAGTGAAACATACCTCCATAAGAACAATTCTAGCACTTACTGCAATACAGAACCTTGAACTCGAGCAGTTGGATGTCAAAATTGCATTTCTACATGGAAAGCTTGAAGAGAAGATTCTTATGCACCAGCCAGAAGGTTTTGTCAAGGAAAGTGAAGTCAAGAAGGTGTGTCTCCTATAGAGGTCTCTTTATGGGCTCAAGCAGTCACCAAGGCAGTGGTATAGGAGATTCGATGATTTTATGATCAGTAAGGGTTTCCTAAGATCAAAGTATGACAGTTGTGTTATTATTTGAAGCTTCCAGATCAACTGTACATATACCTTTTGATCTATGTGGATGACATGCTGATAGCCTTTAAGAGGAAGCATGAAATTCAGAAATTGAAGGATTAATTGAACTCGGAATTTGATATGAAGGATTTGGGTTCTGCTAGAAAAATAATGGGCATGGATATATACAAATATAGAGAAAAAGGGGTTCTGACTTTGTCACTAGAAGGATACCTAAACAAAGTAATAGACATTTTTGGCATGAAACAAGCCAAAGTGGTGAATACTCTAGTTGGTGCTCATTTCAAGCTAGTGTCAGTTAAGGAAGAAGATGCTGAACAGGAAGCTGTCAACATGAGAGGAGTACCATATTCAAATGCTGTTGGTAGCATTATGTATGCTATGATTTCAACAAGACCTAATATAGCATATGGTGTTGGATTGGTAAGTAGATTTATGAGTAGACCTAGTAAGGAGTATTGGCAAGCTGTTAAATGGCTCCTGAGGTACTTAAAGGGCTCTGTAAACCTAAAGCTTACTTATTCAAGAGATAAGGCAGGGAGTAGTCAGGTAATAGGATACTGTGACTCTGATTTTGCTGGTGATTTAGACAAGAGAAGGTTTCTTTCTGGGTATGTGTTCACAGTAGGAGGAAATGTAATTAGTTGGAAATCTGGTTTTTCAACGTGTGGTGGCATTATCAACAATTGAAGCAAAGTATATTTCATTAACAGAAGCAGTCAAGGAAGCTTTATGGCTTAAAGGTCTAATTAGTGAACTCGGATTGGAGCAGAAAACTGTGACAGTGTACTGTGACTCACAAAGTGCTATTCATCTATCAAAGAATACAATATTCCATGAAAGAACTAAGCATATTGACGTGAGGCTACATTTTGTTAGAGATATAATCTCAAGACAGTTGGTGAAAGTTGAGAAGATTGCTACAACAGTCAAACCAGCAGATATATTCACCAAAGTTATTCCTGTGAGCAAGTTTAAGGAAGCTTTAAGCTTGCTCAATATTCTGGAATAGTTGATATTGGTGTAATAGGGTGCTCTAGTTCAATCCACTGAAGCTTCGTCAATCTAGAACCAAAGGTGGAGAATTGTGAAGATTTTGGTCATAATTTCCTGATTCTAAATGAAGGCAGCAAGCTTTATCTGATGTGGAAATCATTTAGTGACGTGGCACAATCTCAAGAGTTCAATTGAGAGTATATATATAAAGTATACTAAATGTAACAGATCACTTTTCATCTGAGATCAAGAAGTCAGAGAAAGAGAATTAAGAGTGAGAAAGCCTGGGTGTGAGAACGTGTAATTCTTGGGTTTTTGGGTTTGAGAGATTTCTTTCAAGAGCTGTTTGTTTCTCGAGAAAGTCTTGATGATAGTTCTGTGTTGAGAGGTCTCGAGTGATTCTCTGTTGTACTCTGTGTTTCTCAATTCATTGATCTATTATAGTGGATTGACTAGGGCTGTGCAAGCCCAGCCTTGGATTAGGATCTTTGATCCGAACCAAGTAAATTTTCGTGTTCTTTGCTTTCTCTAGATTTCAAGATTGGAGGAAGACTAACTCCTCACAGATATGATTCTAAATCTGGGTATGTAGAACTTACAATCGGGTTTTCGTTTACTACTTAATTGTCCATCTAATATCACCCTTGCCTTTCACAGAAACAGAAGCCACTAACAAAATCATACTCATCATTATCTCTGATATCACCCTTGCCTTTCACAGAAACAGAAGGCACTAACAAAATCATACTCATGTAATAATAATAATACTAATAATAATAATAATAATAATAATAATAATAAACAACGCAGTAACACTTCCTTAAGAAAAGTGCAATCTTACAGTTGAAATTTGTGCTCTTCCTTCTAAGAACTTGGAAAAAAGGAAAATACGAAACCTCTAACTGTAAGTAAGCAAACTCCAAGAGCCCGGGCTTGAGAAATGAGAACTATCCCATCTGTTCAGATAATTTTGGTTTGTCAATGGATGTTTGTCAGAATTTGTAGTTCCCCACTATTTACAAGTACGCGCTCTGGCGAACTTGATGACATAAGGGCATCATGGTAAATTTGATCGTCAATTGCAAGTCAAGTCAAGACACGGTGCGTCCCTTCGTCTAAGCGGTTGTTTCTTTCTGCTTTCTTTAGGATATCGATTTTAGGTAAGTGTTATTTGTAATTACTTGGCCTGATTTAAGTTTTTAATTTAAATTAAAATGTAATTTTAAGTAATTAAAAAAATTAGATATAATTTTTTATAAGAATTTTTAATTGTAGTAAAATTAAAATTAAAAATTTAAATCGGTGAAATGAATGAGATTTTTTAAAGTTCATGTTTGTAAACTAAAAGTTCTGCAAACAGGTTACTAGGGCCGACAATATGGATTACAATACGACTCAAAAATGACACGAATTTTGTAGGTTAAAGTTGAGAAAAAAGAGATTCAGGTCAGAATTAAGTTGACCTGAAATTGACACGAAAAACACGAGTCAATTTCAAGTTAGACCCGCCTAACCTGAATACCATACGAAATTCGTAAAAAACTAAAATATATATATTTTTCATTACATATTTTAAATTTTATTATGAACTTATGATATCGTGATAATTATACTCAAAATCTTATACTATTATTTGCTTAATTTTGATGGATGTTATTGTATTTTAACGTGTTATAAATTTTAAATTATTTCTAATATGTAAAAAAAACTTAAAATATATATAATTTTCGTGTCAATTTTAGGTTCACGGATCAATTTCGTATCACAAGTAATTTTCGTCTCGTGTCAACCTGTAAATTGATAGTGTCGTGATCGTGTTGTGATTTTTAAAAAAAATTTGTGTCACGGGTTGTGTCCAGATTGATTGTAAATTTAAGAAGAAGCGACCAAAACACAATACGTGACACGAATTGTCACCCTTACAGGTTACCAATGTGACTTTTTATTATTTATTTTGCCCAAAAAAAAAAAAAAAAGCTTACCAGAGTACATAATGTTGACGAGTCTCCAATCCGAGGCAATAGATACATAAATTAATACGTTCTGCAGAAAGTCTTTATTGATCTACCAATAAACACAACTTATTTGCCTAAAATCGTCGCCTCAATCTTCCTCTTGAAACTCTTGTCCTACTGTTTCTAGCAAGTTTCATTGCAATCATATGATTTAGTTTTACTCGCTTTAATTTCGGAAGGTCAATTGCTTCTTGTTCCTGTGCTTGTTCTTGCTCTTGTTCTTGACCTTCACCATTATTATTCTTAACTTCTTCCTTTCTCTCAAGGCTCTCAGCCTTCTTCCGTTTGAGGAAATTGACAAGTCCTTCAAGAGCAACATCGGCTTTGTCACTCTTCATTAGCTCCTCAGCCACCTCCGCCGGAGTCACCTCCGTGCTGTCTATTAAGCCTTCAATCTCTCCACAAAGATCGTGGTCGTTGCCACGAATACCGAGGTAATTAGAGGCCAAGGTTTTGAACCCATTTGTGGTGCAATACGACATGTTGATGTGCATGTCCATTCGACCGGGACGCAACAATGCAGGGTCAAGACGATCCTTGTGGTTTGTGGTGAACACAATAATTCGCTCGTCGCCGCAGCTAGACCATAAACCATCAATGAAGTTCAATAGGCCCGAGAGTGTCAACTGCAAGTTTTGAGTCATTTGAGTCGTTGATTGAACAAACATTAATCTAAATCCACTTCTATGCACATAATAATCAGGCCGATTTATTGTACACAATCTCAGTGCCTTCTCCTATCTTGCTACCTTCCTTAAAAGGAAATATATACATCTCTTTCACTAAAATCATATTATATGCACGCCATTTCAATATCATGCTAACTGGTACAAAGCCAATTACAGAATTCTTGCCATTTGGGTAGTTTCAAAGAACATTCTCAGTTTTTTTTTTTTTTTTTTTGGAAATGAAACATTCTTGGCCGTTTGCCAAGTGTTGCGCACGTTTCTTAAATTTATTGACCCACACTACAATAAAAAAGCACAAACCCCACTTTTCCCCCTATTTTATGCACTCTCATTTAGTTTAGTAGTGCTATAGATTTTAAAAAAATTATTTTTAACAGTGCTGAAAGAAGAAGCAGCTGTTATAAAAGGTAACTAAATGTTTGGTAAACTATAAATATAGTAACTATGCTGGTTCTAAAATCAACGTAATAGCGTTTAGTAAATTATGAGTTTGAATTGCTGTTATAAAAAGCAGCCGAGTGTTTGTAAACTATAAATATCGTAATTGTGCTGGTTCTAAAATCAACGTAATAACGTTTAGTAAATTATGAGTTTAAATTACTGTGAATAGTTAAAAATTACGACTATAATATAATATAATATATATAATTACAATATAATATATATTTATTATTATATTTAATATAATAAAAAATTATTATTATATAATT